AACACCCTTCTATACCCCCCTTTAACCTATTCCCTCACCTTCCCCTATAAAAATCCCTCCTTCAGTCTTTAGAACCTGCAACTTTGCTGAAGTTGTTTATTATTTCAAGTAGTTTTTTATTTGATTCTCTAGGATTCTCTAAGTATATCATCACATCATCTACAAAGAGTGATAGCTTTGTTTCTTCTTTGCCTACTCTAACACCTTTCATTCTTTTTCTTCTCTTATTGCTAAAGCTACCGTTTCCAGTAAGATACTGAACAACAGTGGTGATAGTGGACATCTTTTTTTCACCCCCGATCTTATTGGAAATGCTTCTAGCTTGTTCCCATCACACATGATGCTTGCTGAAGGTTGTAGGTAAATGCTACTTATTATTTTAAGAAAGACTCCATTTATTCCTATGCTCTCTAGTGTTTTTAATAGGAATGAGTGTTGTATTTTGTCAAAAGCTTTTTCTGCATGTGTTGAGATGATCATGTGTTTTCTGTTAGTTTTGTTGTTGATATGATCAATTATGCTGATAGTTTTCCTCATATTGAACTAGTCTTGCATTCCTGATATAAATCCTACCTGGTCATAATGTATTATTCTTGTGATAAGTTGCTGTAATCTATTTGCTAATATTTTATTTAAAATTTTTGCATCTATATTCATTAGGGAAATTGGTCTATAATTTTTTTTTTCTGTTTTGACTCTTTCTGGTTTAGGTATCAGCATGATATTTGTATCATAAAAAGAATTTGGTAAGACTCCTTCTTTGCCTATTTTCCCAAATAGTCTATATAGTATTGAAATTAATTATTCTTTAAATATTTGATAGAATTTGCTTATAAATCCATCTGGTCCTGGAGATTTTTTCCTAGAGAGTTCATTGATGGCTTTTTCAATTTCTTTTTCTGAGATGGAGTTATTTAAGTATTTTACTTCCTTTTCTATTAATCTGGGCAATTTATATTTTTGTAAATATCATCCATTTCACTAAGATTGTCAAATTTATTGGCAGACAGTTGGGCAAAATAGTTCCTAGTTATTGTTTTAATTTCCTCTTCATCGGCGAATTCACTCTTTTCATTTTTGATACTGGTAATTTGGTTTCCTTCTTTCTTTTTTAATTAAATTAACCAAAGATTTATCTATTTTATTGTTTTTTTTTTCATAAAACCAGCTCTTAGTTTTATTTATTAGTTCAATAGTTTTCTTAATTTAAATTTTATTAATCTCTCCTTTGGTTTTCAGTATTTCTAATTTGGTATTTAATTGAGGATTTTTAATTTGTTCTTTTTCTAGTTTTCTTAGTTGCATACCCAATTCATTGATGTCCTCTTTCCCTGTTTTATTTATGTAAGCATTTAGAGATATAAAAATTCCCCTAAGAACTGCTTTTGCTGAATCCCATAAGTTTTGGTATGTTGTCTCATTATTGTCATTCTCTTGAATGAAGTTATTGATTGTTTCTATGATTTGTTGTTTGACCCATTCATTCTTTAAGATTAGATTATTTAATTTCCAATTAATTTTAGTCTATCTTTCCATGATCTTTTATTACATGTAATTTTTATTGCATCATGATTTGGAAAGATTGCATTTAATATTTCTGCCTTTCTGCATTGGATTGCGAGGTTTTTATCCCTAGTACATGGTCAAGTTTTGTGTATGTGCCATGTACTGCTGAGAGAAAAGTATATTCCTTTCTATCCCCATTCAATTTTCTCCAGAAGTCTACCATATCTAACTTTTCTAAAATTCTATTCACCTCCTTAACTTCTTTCTTGTTGGTTTTGTGGTTAGATTTATCTAGTTCAGAGAGGGGGACATTGAGGTCCCCCACTAGTATAGTTTTGCTGTTTATTTCTTCCTGAACTTCTCCTCTAAGAATTTGGATGCTATACCACTTGGTGCATATATGTTTAGTAATGTTATTACTTGATTATCTATGGTGCCTTTTAGCAGGATGTAGTTTCCTTCCTTATCTCTTTTAATAAGATGTATTTTTGCTTTTTCTTTGTCTGCAATCAGGATTGCTACCCCTGCTTTTTTTTTTTTTACTTCAAATGAAGCACAATATATTCTACTCCAGCCTTTTACCTTCACCCTGTGTGTATCCCTCTCTTTCAAATGTGTTTCCTGTAAACAACATATTGAAGGATTATGGTTTTTAATCCATTCTGTTATCGGCTTCCATTTTATGGGAGAGTTCATCCCATTCACATTCATGGTTATGATTACTATCTCTGTCTTTCTCTCCATCCTATTCTCCCCCCCACCTCCATTTATGCTTTTCTTTCTCCTTTCTCCCTTTCCCTCCTCACTAGTGTTCTGCTTTTGACCACCATCTCCCTCAGTCTACCCTTACTTCTATTAGCCCCCTCCCTTTTCTTCCCCTTTTCCCTCCTACTTGCCTATAGGGCAAGTTAGATTTCTATACCTAACTGATTATGTTATTCCCTCCTTGAGTCAAATCTGATGAGCCAAATCTGATGTTCATCTCCCTTCCTTCTTTCCCTCTACTGTTATAGGTTTTTATGCCTTTTCCTGTAATGTAATTTACCCTTATCTGCCTCCTCCTTTCCTTTTCTCCCAGTACAATCCCTTAATTAGATCCACTTAATCCACTTCCTTAGATCCATTTAACCATTTAATCCATTTAAAAAAAAATTAGATTTTTTTTTATCATTACATCAAAGTCAACTTATACTCACTCCTTCTGTCTATGTATACCCCATTTAAATGGTATAATAACAATACAATTCTCAAGAGTTCCAAGTGCCATCTTCCCTTGTAGGGATGTAAACAGTATGCCCTTATTAATAACATGTTGTTTTTTTCTGTCCTGTTTACCTTTTTTATGTCTCTTTTGAGTCTTGTATTTGAAGATCAAATTTTCTGTTAAGCAGTGGTCTTTTCATCAAGAAGGTTTGGAAGCCCCCTGTTTTGTTGAGTGTTCATCTCCTCCCCTGAAAGGTTATGCTCATTTTCACTGGGTAGTTGATCCTTGATTGTAATCCACCTTCTTTGTCTTATAGAATATCATATTCCATGCCCTATGATCTTTTAATGTAGAAGCTGCTAGGTCTTGGGTAATCTTGACTGTGGTTCCATGATATTTAAATTGTTTCTTTCTGGCTGGTTGCAGTATTTTCTCTTTGACCTGGTGATTCTGGAATTTGGCTACTGTATTCCTTGGCATTTTCAATTTGGGATCTCTTTCAGGAGGTGATCGGTGGATTCTTTCAATAACTATTTTACCCTCTGGTTCTAGGACCTGAGGGCAGTTTTCCTTGATGATTTCCTGAAAGATGCTGTCCAGGCTCTTTTTTTCATCATGGTTTTCAGGTAGACCAATAATTTTTAATTGTCTCTCCTGGATCTATTTCCAAGTCAGTTGTTTTACCAATGATGTATTTTACATTTTCATCTATTTTTTCATTCTTTTGTTTCTGTTTGGCTGATTCTCACTATCTCATAGAGTCATTAGCTTCCACTTGCCCAATTTTAATTTTTTAACAAATTGTTTTCTTCTATTAGATTTTGTACCTCCTTTTCCATTTGGCCCATTTTACTTTTTAACGAGTTCTTCTCCTTAGTGAGTTTTTGTGCTTCCTTTTCCATTTGGTCAGTTCTGCTTTTTAAGGAGTTGTTTTCTTCAGTGTACCTTTTTTCCAGTTGTCCAATTGTATTTTTTAAGGACTTGTTTTCTACAGTTAATTTTTGTCCTTCCTTTTCCAAGCTATTGACTCTCTCTTGAATACCTCTCATTTCTTTTACCAGTTTTTCTTCTACGTCTCTTATCTGACTTTTAAAATCCTTCTTGAGCTCTTCCAAGAAGGCTTTTGGGGCTTGAGACCAGTTTATATTCCCTTTTGAGGTTTTGCATGTGGGTATATTGACAATGTTGTCCTCTTCAGAATTTCTAGTTTGATCTTACCTGTCCCCATAATAAGAATTTACAGTCATTGTACATTTCTTTTTGCTCATGTCCTGACTTTTATAAAAATTGAGCCCTCCTGCTAGAGAGCAAGGGGAGCATTGACCCAAGTTTCTTGTGCTGGGGGCCCAGGGCCTACTCACTGGCATTGTGTGCCAGGGCCTCAGGTGCTGACAATTAGAGGCCGTAGGGTTCTGGCAGCCTAGCTGGTATTTGGCTGGAATCGGCAACCCTGGAGCTCTAGGAGTAGGGGTGGAAAATCTGGCCCCTGGGATGCCTGCTCACCTAGGCTTTGTGCTCCTTTCTTTGGTTCTTGCTCACCCAGGCCTTGCACAGGGATGTTTTGCTGCTGCAGTATGTTTCTCGCCTTGAGCTTTACCTCTTGGAGTTGTGCTTCCTAGAGTTTTAATGAGGCACAGGGAGAATTGGCTGATGGAGAATACCATGGCACATGGTGGTTTTCTGAGCTGGTTTCCACCTGTTCCTCTTCCCATACTGAGGCACTCAGGGGATCTGGTGTTGGTGTTTGCCTGTTCCACCACTCTGGAGTCAGGATCTCCCCCGGTCTGTTGAGGTGGGGCTTTCCACTAGGTTGCTGGGATGCCTCCAGATCAGTTGTTTTTCTTATGAGATGTTTCATATTCTCTTCTGCTTTTTCATTCTTTATATTTTGTTTCATTATTTCTTGATCTCTTATAACTTCACTGGCTTCCCCTTGCCCAGTCTGATTTTCAAGGAGTCATTTTCTTCCTTAAGGTTCTGGATCTCCTTTTCTAATTGGTTGACTTTCTTTTCATAATCTTCTTGTTTTTCTTGGATTTTTTTTGTTTGTTTTTCCTCAATCTCTCTCATTTGATTTTTTAAAGTCTTTTAAAAGTTTTTCTATGAATTCTTTTTGGGCAGGTGACTATTTGACACTACTCTTTGGGATGGAAGAAGGTTTCATTTTTTATTATCCTCTTCTGAAGATGAACCCTGGTCTTCTTTATTCCTATAGTAATTCTCTGGGTTGAATTCTTTCTCCTTTGCCTGTGCATATTTTTTTATAGAGGTTTAATTCTTGTATTCACTTCTAGCCCTGGAGGATGGGAGATGGTGCCTCTAGCCTCACATCCTCCTTCACTTCTCCTCTGTGGCCTGGAACTAAGACCAGGGCCTCCAGCTTCCTGTAAGTGCCCACAGCCAGCAGCGTCCCCACCCCCCTGCTTCTGCACTCACTGGGTGTGTGCTGGTTCCTTCTTGCCCCTAGCCACCTCTCTGCAGCACAGCTAGGTCTGGCATTCCTTGTCAGCAGAGGTTCCCTCAGTCTTCCCCGGCACAAACACACAACTCCCCTCACTGTCCCTGGGGTAAAAGTTCCTGTGGCTGGGGCTGAGGCAGCCTCCCAACACAGCCAATCCCAGGGCTTGATACTTGTTTTTTAAGCAGTCCCTAGCCTGAAGGTGTTTGCTCTTCACAGGGACCAAACCTATCCTGGGATTTTCCTTCAGATCTTCTCCAATTGTCCTAGAAGGACCCCTGTTCTGCTCCCACTCTTCCCTATTTTTACCACTCTATGTTCACTCTGAGGCACTATTTTATCTCTTTTGTGGGGGAAAATCTTGAGACCTTGGAGTTTTCTGACCTACTCTGCCATCTTCCCAGAATCCTCTCCTTACTTTAATATCATAAAAATAATTTCCTGTTCTTTTTTAAACTCTTGCTTCTTCTCTTCCATGAATTCTGATTGGACTTGTACCCAAGCTGTGTTTTTCTTTGAAGCTTTGTTTGTATTTGTTTCAGAGTTATTCTCTTCTTCTGGATTTGTGTCTTTAGTATCCTTGTCACCACAGTCACTCTTTACAGCGGGATTATTTTTGTTTGTTTGTTTGCTCATTTTACTACCTACTTCCTGACATCAAACTTTGTGCAGGACCGGTCTCTGGGCACTTCTGCAGAGAATGTTTGAATTGGACTTTTGTCCTCTTGGGTCTTTCTGCTGCTTTTTGGGGTGGGGTGATATTGAAATATTAGGGGATGGTATTGTTATGTTATTCCAAGATCTCAGAAACAGCTCAGGCTGGGGACAGGCAAGTTTTCAGTGCTTCTAAAGTGGTCTGATCAAGGCAAAGTCTAATTACTGTCCTCATGGTCAGAGCTCTACAGTGTCCTAAGTTGGGTTTGGAATATACTCCTGTGGGCTTATCCTTCGTTGTAGACAGCTGCTGGATTCATCTGCTATTAGCCGGCTGGAAAGTTTTGCAGGTTTATTGACTGAACTGCAGGTTCCCCTTTGATCTGAGATTCATGGGCTGATTATTCTACTTCTTTTGTCAGATGAGCTGGAGGCTGGAACTGAGACCCTGATTAGCTCTTGTAGTCAGAATCTCACAGCTCCTATTTGCTTTTAAACCAGTTCCTAGCTCAGTACACAGTCTAGGACCCATGACTGTTCACCAACCTGTAAAACCTCTTCAATCTGCCCTGATCTATGACCAGGGACTGGTCATAAATCTCAGAGCTACCAGTTGGCACTTGTTTTTGCATTCTGCACAAATGTGGTATCCCCTTGTGTGAGTCAGACCTCTTCTTGCCCTGGTGCACAGCCTTAGTCCTCTTAAAGTTCCTATGTTCTAGAATGCTTTGCCCCTACATACTCCTAGTCAGATCCCATCCCCACTGTCCACAAACCTATCTGTATTTTTATGCCATCTTGGGCTGGAAATATGATTCATTATGATTTTTTTCCCCTTAGATTTCCCAGTCGATAGTTTATTTTCTAGATCTTTGTGGAGGAATTGTGTTAGGGAGCTAAGCTGCATTTTTTTCTGCTACTTCATCATCTTGACTCTACCTTAAAACATTCTTTGCAGAGGAAATTGTAGTATTGATTAGATTAAAGTTCTGACAGCAAAAGGTGAATGTGGTGTGGGGGATATGGTATGCATAAAATAACCAGGCAAAGAAAATGGTGTGAAGAAACATTGTGCTAAGATCAGAGCTGAAAGCGCTGGAGTCAGGGAGTCAGAGGACCTCCGTTCCAATCCCTCATCTGACACCTGATACCTGTGTATCCTTGGGCAGATCACTTCACATCCCTGTAATTGAGTTTACTGGACTAGACCATAGCCTCTGAGTTTTCTTCTAATTCTACATTTATGATCCTTCTAAGTATGGTCTCCAGAGGTCTGATTTGTAGGGTGGAACAGTATAATCAACTGGGTCTAGAAAACACAAGGTGGGAAGGTACGAGGTGTATCAAGGAGTCAATCCAGCTGAAGTGAATAATGCATATAGAAAAATAGTTGGGAATAAAGGAGAAAAAGTAGATTGGGTACTGATTTTGGAGGGGCTTGATTATTATGTTAAGGCTAGAATATTAGGTCTGGGAAGGGATCTTGGAAATTCTTTAGATCAGGTGTTTCCAACTTCATTATGATGAGTTACTTTTTAAAAAAAAATTTTTTTATGAGTTTCTTTTGATTTAAACAGTACCTTATGACTTTTGGTAGGGGAAGGGTGTGAACATGCTGATAATGGAAGATGACAATATGGCAGCTAAAAAGGGAAATAACTGATGGGGCATTGAGGTATAAAAACAGTAACTTGATTGGAGATCACACAGATAAACCTTTTAAGCCATCAAATTGAAGTCGATATGAGAGAAGCTCTAATTGGAATGGGGAACCACTGGAGTTTTTTTTTTTAGCAGACCAAGTTAAAGTTAAAAAGCTATTTCAGTGGTTCAGATATAAGGTAATAAGAACTTAATGAGAGTAGTAAAAAATGGTAGCATAAAAAGATTCGGGATAGGCATAAAGAAGGTGGGGCAGTTCAAGCGCAGGGAAGGTCAGGCTGCTCTCAGTGCTACTAGCTACAAGTCCTCAGAACTGGCTGGCTCTAAGTGGAAGAGTTAGCACCATGAAAAGCTGACTATTGAAGGTCATTCTAGAGCAGGGGTTCTCAAACTTTTTAATGTCATGGACGCCTCTAGAAGTTTGGTGAAGGCTACAGACTCAGAATATTTTTAAATACATAAAATACATGAGATTACAAAGGGAGCCAATTATGCTGAAATCAACATATTTTTTAATATAAAGGTTCATAGACCCTAGGTTAAAAATTCTTAGGTAAAGCTGGATTCCTCATTCTTCTTCACAGGATGTATTGATCAATCTACTCTATTTCTTTATTTACTTTATGACCAAAAGCAAACATCTCTGAGAGTTTTTAGCCCGTATGTAAGGAGCTATGAGAAGGGGTTTCAGTTTGTAGCTCTTGAGAATTTTTATTGACTTTGGCTTCATTAGAACTGACTCTTAAACAATGAATAAACAGATCAGATACAAATAACATTTCATTTCAGAGGGCCTTCCATAGACTTAACTCTGGGTTAGGTAGGAAATTTGATTTTCACCAAGTCCCGTCAGACATGTGATCACATCTTTTAGTTCACTACTTGTCAGAATTTTCTAGTGGCTCTCAATCGTCCATTTTCACCTTGTCTTTTTCTGTAATATCCTTGCCTGTCATTTATTTCGGCTACTGGGGCCCTGAGTAACAAGAAAGAAAAGAAGAGAGACAAATAAAGAATTAGCTAGTCAGCTACCCTCAGGGTAAAAAAAAAAAAATTAATTCACCTAACTAAATTTCCTGAAAATACATGGCCAATGTAATCACATGGAACTAATGATTTTAAAAAATTAGAGTTACACAATCTTAGGATTTTTGAGGCATGATGAACCTTAAAGATCATCTGATCCTGGTCTCTTCTAATTGCAAAGTCCTACTACTTATTTAACTCATTTTTAAAAGGTTAGGGCCCCACCCTTGAGACTTCTAGTTTCCATTGGCATGTAAATATTTGTTGAGTGATTAATACTCACGGGTCTAAAGCTGGCAGTGACCTCTGAGGCTATCTAACCCACCCGATCATTTTACAGTTGAGGAATCTGATGCCCAGGGAGGTGAAGTTACTTGACTTAAGTCACACAGGCAGTAAATATCAGATGTGGTATTGGAACCCAGAACCTATAAACAGGAACTTAAATGGATAGCCAGAATATAGACATACAGAGGAGAAGCAGATGTGGGTGGAAATAGTATGAGCAAAAGAACTCAGGGCAAAGGAACTGAGTAACTAATGTTCAAGATGCCCAATTACCTACAGCATAATGTCCAAACTTCTTAGCCTTAAATTAACAGTGCTGTACAATCTGGCTCCAACCTTACATACTCAAGCCTTGTATCATATTACTCCCTTTCAATGTATTGTATAGTCCAACTAGAGTAGACAAAAATCTCAAAACACTTTCCCAGCTCTATTCCTTTACCCTCAGTCCGTTTCCCCTTATCTCCAACAGCTGAAATCCTGCCCATCTTTCAAAGTTCTGGCTGCAATGTCATCTCCTCCATGTTACCTTCCTCAGTCTCCCAACCTGAAGAAGTCAGTTGAGACTAACCTTTCTCTTTTGTAAAAAATCCTTTCCTCTTTTGAATTCACAGCTCTTATAATTTCATAGTCATAATCAATGAACAATCATTAAGTGTCTACTCTGTGCCAGGAGCTGGCAAAACAAATAAGACAGTCTTTGCTCTCAAGGAGCTTACAGTCTAGGGGGAGAAGATAATACACAGAAGGTGTGGCAGAAGGTGCCAGGCCCAAGGTGGAGTTGAAACCAGCAGAGCCTATGATGGTGAATGAAGTGAGCAGGAAAAGTCTGATCCCTCTATAAAAGGGGTCCTTGGGAAGAGTTCATTGATCCAGACCTTCTATCAGAGGGGAAAGGCAACTGAGGGTGCTGAGAAGTTGAGTATGGAAGGTAAATCCATCTCTAAGATGATGAGATTTTCAGGTTGTGAGCTTATTCTTTGGGAAGGCTTGATATTTCTTTAAACGTTTTCTCATTCTACCTGGTAGAATGGAAAGAACTCTATCTGGAGTCAGAAGACAAAGGCTTTCTTTGCTATTTATTACCTCTGTAATTGTGGGCTTGGGCAAATCACTGCATATCTATGGCCCTTTTCTCATCTATAGTGAAATTACTGAATTAGATAATTTCTAAGGTCTCTTCTAGCCTTAGATCCTAAGCCTTATCTCTCCCTATTGGAATGCACATTTTTGGAGCATTTATACTCTTGAAGTGGTATGGTACAATAAAAAAAAAAAAGACTAGATTTGGGTGTCAGAAAAGCTAGGTTTCAGCCCTAGCTCTACCAATTACTAAATCCTACTATTTCCCCTTCTCTGACCCTTAGTTTCACCATCTGTAAAATGGACATACCTACACTACTGTCTATTTGACCAAACTGTTGCAGGAAAAAGTGCTTTATAAAACAAAAATATTCTACATAGATAGGTGAGCTATTATTATTAGCTACTTCATACTAACTAATGATGACAATTTTTAAAGAACTCTCTAAATTTGAGTAACTAATTACTATGAGAATAGGACCTTATCTTCTATGTCTACCTTGCGGCACATGGCTGGATGTCCCCAGCATACAAAATTTATTCAGAAAAAAAAATTTGCTGTACTGAGCGTACTTATTTTTAGATTTATAATTATGAGGGATTTCTAAGGGTCATCTAATCCAGGCCATTTAAAGTCTTTCACAAGCTGGCTCCAATCCACCTTTCCAATTCTGCCTTGCTTATACATTAACTCTCTTTCATACATACCACAGTCAGGCCAAACACGCCAGAACCACAATAACACACCCATTCACTCTGTACTAGGGCAACTGGGTGGCATAGTGGCTCAGCCTGATATTCCCAAGTTCAAATCTGGCCTCAGACACTTATTAGCTGTGTGACCTTGGGCGAGTCACTTCACCTATAGAAAGAAATAGCAAACCACTCTAATGTCTTTGCTAAGAATACTTCAAAATGAGGTTACAAAGAGTAGATCTCGACAGCATACACTCTCTCCTTGCTTTTGCTTTCTCCTCACTTGCACCTTTCCCAGCAAAATTACCTAATATTTATTTTGAATGTGTTAAGTCTGCCCCTCCTGCTCCATGTAAACCACCTGAGGGCATCCATATGTTCCACTTTCGTTTGTATGCTCAAAGAACAGCCCAGTGCCTGGCACACAGCAGTCATTTTATGTTTGCTGACTCGACCACTGAGACAGGCACTGTGCTAAGTCCTGGGGATAGTTTAAAAAAAGTCAAAAGCAGGCCCTGCCCTCAAGGAACTTACATTCTAATGGGGAGGGCTGTATGTATATAAATAGAAATATATACACGAAGTAGCTGGAGCGAAGGCAGAGGGGTGGGGGCAGGAAAGGCCCCCTACGGAGAGTGGGGTGTGAGCTGAGCCTGGAAAGAAGCCGGGCCATAAGGAAACTGAGGACCTGCAAGGTTAAGGGGACTGCCCAAGGTCGCCCTGGGGGTCGAAGGGGGTCTCTAAGCTAGGTCAGCCAGGGGTGTGAGTAGGCCCAAGAAGAAGGTGGGTGGCTTGGGGCCTACAGGGCTCGGGCGGGGCCTAGGGAAAGGGCTCCGCGCCCAGGCGGGGAGAGGCCGAGGCAGCGAAAGGAGGGAAGCGGGAGGGGCCGGCGCTGCCACGGGATCCAATGTGCTAGCACGGGCCCTTCGGGGGACTCATTGACAAGCCGGACCGGAAGTCGGCGTCCGGCGCGGCAGTGCCTAAGAGAGGGTGAGTGGCCATCTGGGCCCCGCGGGACCGGAGGAAGCTTTGTCTCGTTCCCGGCTTTCCAGGCCCCTCAGCTTGTCCGCGGCCTGCCTCGGCCTCGGGGCCTTGTCGATCTAAGCGCCTCGGACTGCCGCTAGGTGGCGCCGAAGCTCGATGGCCGCACACGGGTCTGCTTTTGGCCTCGTAGGGCCACCGTCGCTTCGCCTCCGTGCTCGGCCCTCCGTCCCGCCGTGTCGGGGCCTCCCGGCTGCTCCTTCGCAGCGTCGTCCGCCTGTTCCCCGAGCCTCAGACTCCCGGCCCGAGGTGGCGATGTGCCGCTGAGCCGGGCCAGGAGAAGGTAGGCCTGCTGGCAGGTCTCTCTCGCGGCGGGCGCCGGAGCCTGGGCTGGGCCGGGCGGGGAGGGAGACCGTGATGGAGCCCTCGCCGGCCCCGGCCCCGGACCCGCTGCGCCGGCCCCTCGGTGGCCTCCGCTCGGCGGGCCGAAGCCCGAGCTCCGGGTCCGCACGCGAGCCCGCGGCCCCAGCCTGCAGACCCGCGGAAGGGGCCGGGCGGCCTCCGTAGGGAGCCCCCTTCGGCGCCCAGGTCTCTCCTTGCGGACCTCGGGGCGGAATCCCGCGGACCGGATGACGAGGAGCGGCGGTGCAGCGGGAAAGGGCGCCGGCCTCTGGGTCCGCAGCCCGGGGAGGCGGGGGTTCCTGCAGGGTGCATGCAGCCCGTGCATCCCCGCGCCGCGCCGCGGGACCCGGGGCCAGCCGCTTCACCCCTCTGGGCCTCAGGTTCCTCATCAGAAGTGGGAGGACGGGAGGTCCCGCCCAAACTGCACTGCCCAAGCAGCAGGCTCGTGCAGGTTCAAGTAGAGTGAAGTGTTATTAGAGCAGTCTTCAGCCCGTTTCAGAAGTGGCGCCTTCAGAGGGGCTGCACGCCTTTCTGCTCAGTGCTCCTAATGAGGAGCCCCGCGGCGGGCTTGAGGTGCCTCTCCCGGGGCTGGACTTCCCCGGCCGCTGGGCTTCAGGAGCTTCTGTGGTCAGAGTAATTCATCCCAGGGTGTAAAAATCCTCAGGTGATGAGACTTCCAAACAGGGGGACGGCCCTTTGGGGATGAGCCTCTTCCAAGCAGGTGACCAGCCCCCTGATGATGCTCTTTCAGACAGCCTGAGTGGGTGGTCCTCAGCTTGGGACCTGCACTCTTGAGCCTTTGCACTTTGATAGGACCCTCCGGAGCTTGCCCGCCACGGGCATCACTTTGGAGAACTCAAGCCCCATGCGCCAGGATGCAGATCAGGAGAACTTTAGTGGAGGTTTTCTCCGTCATAGGTGTTTAGTAAGCCTGTGTTTAATTGAGTTATGTCTTGGTTTGTCTTGTTTCCCTGATGGATTGCTAGGGAATCTGTATCAGGTCAGTTTAATAGTACAGCAGTTGCTGGATCAGAATGAAAATCTTATAGTGTAGTGAAATAAGAGAAGGTAGAATGAGGAATCCCCTTTTAACAAAGAGCCCAAGAGGTGACAGAGAAGGTCACACAAGCCTGTGGTCCTTCCCTTAAGCGGCGGGACATTCAGTTTCAGAGCTGTAGCATGCCTTAGCGGATTATTTTGCCCAGCCCCTTCATTTTTGGAGATGAAGAAACTGAATTGTTGAGAGATTAAATCCGTTGCTCAAGGTTGTGTGATGGGATATGCAACCGGAACTAGAACCTAAGTTTTTTGACTGGCAGGGCTCTGCTGTTTGCATATCACCCTGTTGCTGGTTTACTTACAGGACTTGAGCACTGTTGGTTGAAGTGTGCTAAAGAAAGACTGAAAGACTGGACGTCTGGGCTCCCAAAATGCTGTTAGTTGGAGTTTTAGTAAGCAATTTTAAAACGGGAGAAAAGTCAGTTAGAAATAAAAGGTTTAAAAATGCAGCCTGGGCTTTACCATCAGAAGTGGAGTGCTTACCCATAATATCACTGAACACATAAGTAAGGATAAATATGTGCTGTAATTTGGGAGGGTAATAAACCATTCCTTGTTTTTGTTCCCTCACAGGACCACAATGAGTGACATTCGCCATTCCTTGATCCGCCGAGACGCATTAAGTGCTGCTAAGGAAGTGTTATATCATTTGGACATTTATTTTAGCAGTCAGCTCCAAAATGCACCTCTTCCTATTGTGGACAAAGGTCCCATTGAACTTTTGGAAGAATTCATATTTCAGGTTCCCAAGGAACGCAATTCCCAACCTAAGGTATGTAGTTAGGATTCAAAAGAAGAATAAATGGAGATCACTTGTATAGTCATGTTAAAATCCTGACTTTCATAAATGTTGGCATAATTTAGTGCATCTTTAAATTACAGATAATTTTTTTATTCTCTGGGCCTCTATCCTTATGCCATGTAATATATATTAGATTTCTTTGTCCATTTGCAGCTTAAATGCTGTTTTAATAAATCTAATAGAAAAGGCAACTGATGTAGCAATGCATTCCTCGTAAAAATTGCACAAAAGAGGCCTAAAAATGAAAATTCCTTTCCTTTTTTTTTTTTTGGAAAGGAAAATTCTTTTCCTCTTGAAAGACGTGGTCCTTTGAAGGATTTGATTATTGACTCATCTAGTATAATATTACTAACATTTGCTAATTAGTCAATAAACATTTATTAAGCACCTAATAAGTATCAGGCACTGTGCTAAGCACTGGGGATGCAAAAAAGGCAAAAGACAGTCGCTGTCTAGTGGGGGGCTTACTATATGCAGTAGCTCATGGCTGTTTGATTTCCCCTTGAATTTCTGGAGATAATTGATGACTATCAATCACCTTGCTTTAAAAAATAGCAGAGACAAAGAGTAGTCTTAGCTATAGTTAGAGCATTGCAGTCCATCAGTCAGCCAGTAACCATTTATTAAGCACCTATTGCATGTGCCAGACATTATGTCAGGTGTTTGGGAATGTAAAGACAAAAGCAAGAGTCTCTCTCCCCAAGGAGCTTACATTTAAATTGGGAGGGGGACACACATATTTGTAAGTATATATAGAATATCTATAGAATGAAGACAAGGGCAGTTTGACATCTATGCTTAATTTTGTATTAAAGGGATACACCTCAGCCCAACTGTGTGACCACAAACACTGACCCTGATTTTCAAGGCCTATAGCATTGAATTCTTTGAGAATAATCAGAAATCAAACAATAACCAGTAGTTGTGAGTGGGATTTTGTAAGGAAGAGTAGAAGTATCTGATAACAAAATGCTTATTTCTTGATGTGGTAATTAACTAATGTAGAAATAGCAAGTTTTATTAGTTTTCCTCATTTTATTTCACAGAGGCTGAATTCACTTCAGGAGCTTCAACTTCTTGAAATCATGTGCAATTATTTCCAGGAGCAAGCCAAGGATTCTGTGCGTCAGATTATTTTCTCATCCCTTTTCAGTCCTCAGGGGAACAAAGCAGATGATAACCGGATGGTCTTACTAGGAAAGTTGGTCTCAATGGCAGTGGCTGTGTGTCGGATTCCTGTGTTAGAATGTGCTGCATCATGGCTACAGGTAAAATTTCTTTTAAAAACAAAAAAGCATGCTTCAAATGATAACTGTAAGGAAATTTCTTACTGGGTCACAGGGAATTTAATGAATTTTGTTTTCTTTGCTATCATTTATATTAATTACTATATTTGAATCATGAATACCCTGATTTCATTTGTGTGGACATTCCCTGTACTGATACAGGTGGCATTCTCTTCAGATAGCCCTTTCGTAGCATCTATGACCAAAGAAAATACCACCACCTGGTGGCTAAACTTCTCGTAATAAGCTTATCCAAACACTGCTCAAATGATCCTCTGAGGACAGACACATAAGGAATTTCCCAGTTCCTGGAAAGCCAGACTCGAAGTTTTCTAGTTTCTTAGGCCCTTCCAGAGTTTATGGTCCCTTGGCAAAGGATTCAATAACATAGGATCTCTTCTATACTATAAGTAAGGCATCAGTGGAGAATTAATTATGGTATAGTGTATTCTGATAGTCTTTAGAGATCACTAATAGTATTAATTATGTACTATATTTTAACATAGCTTATTAATCATTGTAGAGTCTGGTAATGTTAAGGAGTTGCCTGGGGTACTGGAGAGATAAGTGATTAAAGGGAATTTCCTCCTTGCGAAGTGCCTTTATTGATGAAATCATAGGTCTGGACCAGAAAAAAGTCTGACAGAGTCAAGTAGACATTCCCTGTTTTCTGTTACATTGTATGGTTATGCATGATAGTGGAAAGTTAAAAATAGTTAAATTTAAAATAAAACTTCACAGAGTAAGATAATAATAGAGATTATTTTTCTCTTCAATTGAATATGATAGAGAATTTTGAAAACACCTTACAACTCTCTGGATAGAATTTTTTAAGTACACGAATATGTTATATAAAATTTTAGCAATTTTTGAACAGATTTTACTACCTTTATACTCCCCCCCACAAAAAAGCTGCACTAGTAAGCATGGGAAGTGTTATTTTGCATTGAATCACCTTCCCCAGCAGTGATTTTGTCATAATGTGAAATCCTTTCAGAGTACTTATCAATAGTCAAAGAAAAAATAAAGATGTTCAGTATAGTTTCAGTGTGATAAAATTCTAATTTCTTAAAAATTAGTAACTTCTGTGTATGATCATTCTGTAAAACCAAAATGATTGGCTAATTAGACTATCTCATTTCTCAATCATGTTAACAGATTATACTATACTAAATTTTGTAAGGTAAGAAGAAAGCTCCTAGTTTGGATTAAATAGGATGGTGAGAGAAAGACAGGGCATGGTAGTGTGAATTGGAATGTTTTTCAAGCATATGTAGTAATTCAAGTAGGCTGTTAACAAACTAATACAAAATAAATGTCTTTAATATCCTACTTTATTCCGAAGTTCTGAATAATAGTTTGGTCTATTAAGCATGTCCTTTGCAATCTCTTTTACATTTTTAATATGGTTAGTAAATTTGATGTATGGCATGCTACAAAAGAATTGGAGTAGGAGATAGCCATTTGGAAAATATATGATTGGAAGAGGTGTTCTAATGACATTGAGCGTGAGAGATAAGGATGTTGGCCTAGTACTCATAAAAATATATATTTTTAAAAAAAGAATGTCTCCAGAGGATTGGGTAGATTATTCAGGAACATGGACACAAACTATACAAGAAAAGAAAATATAGGTGGGTTTTGATCTGCACCAATGAAAAGAATACTTGTATCAGTAAGATCATATATCTATTGAAGGATCTAAGTATTGAAAGATTGTTAAACTTAGAAAGTTTTTTTTGTTTGTTTCTGTTTTTTACAACTCAGTGAGATAAAAACTCAACATCACATTGACAAGAAGTCTTACGGTTGTTAATTTGTCATTGTATACATGTGTGATCACTCACTGAGACTTACGCTGTGAATTTATTACACTTCATTTTGGGACTGTGTCTTTGACCCTGAGGTTCAAGAGATATACAGGAAAGTAATTCCAAATAACTAGTTTAAACCAGTATTACTCAAGATGAGGTTAAAAACGCAAGGGAAAGAACCAAGCTTCAGTTCTGAATGGCTGTTTGATGTTGCCAGGAGCATACTGTAGAGCATACTGTAATACATATGAATTAGTGCCTTCTGTCCTCCCTCCTTTAAAGTCTCCTGCCGTGCCAGATGGGAGGCTGAAGTTATATGGTTCTGACTTGCTGTTTAGTATTAGTATCAGTTTATAGAGGATTAAATTGGAGGGTTTTTTTTTGGTTGGTTGGTTTTTTGTGTTTTTTTTTTTTTAGCTTGGAAATATAGGACATAGGGATATTACAGAAACCTTCCAGATTTCCAGGGGGATGGCAGATTGAAAAAGTTTGAGAACCAGTGATTGAAAGTTTAAAAATCTGATATTCCTCAAACTCCTGTAAAATTCCATTTCTTGTTTGACCATGTCACTGTATTGTGATGGGTAACTCTAGGTTAGCTCCTATCAGGTGTTTCTCACCTAGGTTCCTAGAAAGGCTACAAAGTAATGAAGATTTATATTCTCATATTAAGTCAAGTTAGACAACCAGTTAAGATTGGAAATGCTTTTCGTCCAAGAGCTGACACACCCAAGTTTATCAAGAACTCATCACAACAAGTTGGTTTTAGGATAATGAATTTTTCTGCTACAGCAACTCTCAGAGGCCATCTACTAAACTGCAGTAGATTTATGATCTTTTGGTAGAGAAAATACTCTTATCCTACCTAAAAATCATAGCTCTTTGAGGTCTTGAAATACCTCTGTG